TATTACATATTGAAATGTTATATTTCAGTATTATTGTTTATGTTGGAGAGGTGAGAGTTCCTCCCAGTCCGTCATATGGACCGCTGCTGTAATTTAGCTTTAGTGGTTGAGGTCGGCCCACATCTCTGTGAATCCACTCCAGATGGTGACATGTGGACCTCTTAATGTATAAACACGTTTTTGGATCAGTCTGTTAAACAACCAGAGCAGTGGCCCTAATTGTATTCAACGACAGCCTTGTTTTTTTTCCTTTTTGTTTTTTTCTTTATTTTTGGCCACGCTGTGCCAATCTGGGCAGAGAAGTGACCTAACTGATCGTTTTTGAATTCGACTGCTTTTTGGTTTTACCTTTTTGCTCTTGATGTGAAGCTTGTTTTATTACTTATTGATGACTTATTGGTTTATGAAAGATCAGAAACAACTGCAACCAAGTAGGTTAGGTGGCCATTTGTAAATAATTTACAGAAGAAGACTGTTGATACAAAAGGAGGCACATAACACTTTCATAAGAACTGCATAGGAGCTTTATAGACAGTGTTTCAGACAGCAATGACACAGGTTCAGTTTCAATGAGATTTTTTGATTCCATTAATAAATGAAGGGGAAGAGTAAATGTTAATCAAGGAAAGACTACTGAGATTTAACCACAGACACTCCTGTACATTGAGGACAGAGCTACACGGTGTTTACAGACTGTAAATGTGTCTCCAGGCTCTGGGTGTCGGGTACCTGGTAGGACAAGAGTTAACAGACAGTAAACTGGTTGAGTGAAGAAGGTTTTGTGCTTGTTACACAGGGCTGTTTGTGTGAACTGTCACAATAAAGCTGGTGTTCTGGAAAGGTCTCAAATGAAGCTGTTGTGTATATTTGTCTTGAAGCAATATTTTATTTATTTTTTTACTTATTTTTTGTGTCTGTTCAAAGGAATAGTTCCACATTTTAGAAAATGTCTTTATTCACTTTCATGCTGATGAGAGAATTGATATCAGTGTCATATCTGTCTGTTAAATGTGAATCTACAGCCAGGAGAAAGTTATCTTACCATAAGCTAGCTTGGCACTTTCCAAACGTAACAAAATTCAGACTTTATCTCTCAATTGCTTAATACATACAGAAACCAAACTGTAAAATGACAAATTATGGTTTTATAAGGGATTGTATTGTATTGTATTTATTTGGAGGCAGTCACTGTGCGGGACCAGGAAGTAGTCCAGCACACAAAATCTCAATTTGTCGTTTTTACACAAAAACGAGTTGATTAATCGATTAGTCAATCAAAACAAAATTTAATTTAGCTCTCCTATTATAGTAAATTGAATATGGGTTTTTGATTTGAAGACTTTGATCTGTGAGTTCTGCTATCGCTGCAAAGCTAACGTTAGCATTAACGGCTGTTTACTTATCAGACTAGAAAAAACGTTTTCAGTTCAGCATCAAACTTCCTTTACTCACCGAGAACTGTCTCCAGTGTTGTAAAGCAATGCTAATGTTAACTTTATCACATTTTTTCTTCTACTGAAGTTAGCATGCTAACCAGCTCGCCCCAGTCTGACTGGACTGTTTCATCACTTTCCGATAGCGAGTCAGGAGCATCCAGGCTGCCATGAAGAAGTAGCGCTGCTCAGATTGCGTATTTTAACCTCTTGCAAATGCAACAACGGCTGAAGCTCTTAGCTGCTAATTAAACAGTTGTTAATGCTAATGTTGGCTAAAGGCAAAACTCAAAAATAATAATCTTTTAATGCATTTATTGAGAAAATAATTGGTTGATTAATAGATAATGAAAATATTTTTGGTCAGCAAAAATGTCAGAAATCCATAACTTTTAGTTATAAGGTAGAAGATGCCAAACCTTGATATGGTCCTATACAGTAACCTTTCTTTTCTTTTTCTTAAACTCAAACTACAGCTCAGTTTTGCTGTGTTGTCTTGACTATGCAAACATACTGTAGACCATTATTAGCCCATATAAGGAGAGCATTAAATCTGGGACTTCCTCATCGTCATCCTCTCATGTTTGTACAGTATGATGGATTATTGATGGCGGATGCTAGACCAGACTACCTATTGTCTCGGTGCTGCAGCGCTGGAGGTAAACTCCCAGTCATACCAGGCACATATCATCTGCCCAGTGTTGGTCCAGTAGTTTGCAGCAGGCTGGTGCCAGCCTTAGCCCCTCCCTCCTGTGAGCTGCAGGCGGACTCTGGTCCTCACTGCAGTCCGCAGTAAGTCCACCGGCGCCCGTCAGAGTGCAGCAGTCTGCAGTCTCCATCACACTCCTCCCTGCGCTCCCCTGGCAGGTGGAAAAGACACACAAGCCGGGCCGGGACAATGTGAGTATCGGCGCTTATTTATTATAGTTTCAGTAAATATCACACAGGTATATCATTAGATTTCTTTTCAGAAATGTTTGATGCTTATTTTTTAGCGACTTTTCTGCGGCGTCATGGACAGGTGAAGTTGATTTTTTTGAGTCGGTGTTAATCGGTAATGCGTTCATGGAAATCTAACCTTTTTACTCAGTATTAAACAGGCTGCTGCAACACCTGTGCAAAAACATATAGACATCAGCAGATAGATTTGAAACTGGACTGGTGATTATATTTTGAAGCATTTAATCCTTTTATAAATAACCTTAATTTCCTCTCAAGAGTCTTAATCTTTAACCTGTTTGATTTGATTAAACTGTCCAAAAGGTGATGATCATTGGGATGTAATGAGCTATTGAACGCTGTTCTTCCATGACCTCAAAACGCCTTTGATTTAGAAAAGACAGAGCCTAATGATGCAGCAGATCGCTCCCCCTCTCTCTCCTCTTTGCGGCGCATTGACAGCAGGGAAACGTGTCCCATTTCATGTCTGCAGTGCAAACGGCGGATTGCAGCACAGGGCTGCGCTGACTGGCTCATACACACCTAGAAAAAGCCTTTTAAAATCTGTCAGTCACAAATAAAGATTCATTAAACCCAGATTTTTTTTTGTAGATTTAAATGTTTTTCTTTCCTTTTTGTTTTTGTATTATAGCCTCCAATAGTTTTCTTATTGGTTCCTACACTCAAGGCCTTTAATTTAAAATACATAATGACATTTATCTTACATTATAGAGCTTGTTAACTTTGTGGCAACTTCTCCCTCATATTCACTCTTTTAGCCTGAGCATACAGTAATTCATTGTCTCTTTTCTCATTAATTACGGTTATTTATTTATTTATTTATTATTCCTTGTTACTACTGGACAATTGTACAGTAAGTGTTTAAGTGATGTGTGTGTGTGTGTGTGTGTGTGTGTGTGTGTGTGTGTGTGTGTGTGTGTGTGTGTGTGTGTGTGTGTGTGTGTGTGTGTGTGTGTCCTTCCTTCCTCAGGGCTTTCATCTCAGTCTTGGTGATTTTGGCCCTCGTGGTTTCAGCTGAAGGAAGTGTTGGGTAAGCTGATCGTCTCAGATACAGTAGATGTACTAGGTGGCCAAAAGTATGATGACACCCAAACGTTACACCCATATGTAAATTGTACTATTACAAATGAATTTAGCTTTTTGACACTTGCGGCCAAAACAACTTATATTTTTCTCCCCTGCCACACGAGGACAAATAATTAACACACCTAAACATGTAAACAGAGTGGGTGGACCGTTAATCATCGGACTGGTGGTTCAATTCATGACTGCTCCTGTGATCGCTGGTATTAATCTGCTGCTATAAGACCCTCCACTCCTCCAGGAAGGCTTTTAACAAGATCTTGGAACCTGGCTGCAAGAATTTTTCTCCCATTCATCCACAAGAGGATTAGTGCGATCGGGCACTAATACAGTTACCAGATGTTACTTTCAACAAACAAGGCATTACATTGTCATGCCCTTCTCTATTTAAAGGAGTTGTGGCACCCTCTGACCACTGGGCGGAGCCTCAGGCCTCCTGAACAGGGACCTCTGGTTGTTCCAAGGTCAAAGCGGAAAACAAAGGTGGCTGTTGTTGCAGCTGCAAAACTCTGAAATAGTCTCCAAGTGACAGATAAACCATATCAGTGCACATCTTCAGGAAGCATTTGAAGTTAAATAGTTTACTTTGTGAGTTTTACTCTAATTTATGGTCATGCTAGTGGCATGGTGGCGACTGAGTTGGTCAGTCTGTCCGCCACTTTGGTCCAGACTGAAATTACAGGATTTCTGTGAAATTTTTAATAGGCATAGTCCCCAGAGGATGGATCCTAATGTTCTAATCCCCTGGTTCTTTCTGTAGCGCCACCATGAGGTTTAAATATAAAATTGCCATGAAATTTGCCGCAGATATTCAAGTTCTTTAGAGGATGATCCTCTGGCTTTTCTTTTAGTGCCACCAGCAGGTTAAACTTTCATGGTTTATCTCTACATCTACTTGATTGATTGGCTCCAAATTCTATAGAGACATTCATGGCTCCCAGAGGATGTATGTTAAGGCTTTCTCATGACTCATTTCTGGACAGCTATAGGTGATGGACTGCCATGAAATCTGGTACAGACATTCATTTTCCCCTCAGGAATTAATTGCACTGACTTGATCTTCTGACTCTTTATTTCCTGACCTGGCACCATCATCACGTCAAATTTTCTGTGCCCCCAATACTTTTAGTTTTGACCAAATGTTTTGTGTTTGCTAAATGCTAAATATTAGCATGTTAGCATTGTCGTTATGAGTGTTTTCTTCAAAGCTGTTAGCATAGCTGTAGATTCTTAGTCTTGTTCCTCTGTTTTATAATATATTCTATTATAAAGTGAATTTGGTTGCTGGTTTGCTACTGATGTTGGATGATAAAGCTCAGATCTGTTGAATGGGATCTTCCTCAAATTTCCTGCATAAAATCATCCACATACTCAAAGTTTCAACAGGGGTGTCCACAGAGTTTTGGCCGCATATTGTCGCTAAATAATAAAATTGAATTCTATTACCACTCTGTTATAGACCGAGTACCAACACCAGCTTCTGCACAGAGTCCAAGGAATGTCTGGAGTACGAGCTCGTCTGCAAAACAGATGAATATGAGGTGAGTGAACCCCTTCGTGTGAACCAGCACATATACTGTACACACAAGACCTGCCCATCAAGCTGATACTTCTCACACAAGCTAGTTCTCTCTTTTCCCATTTTGTGTCTGTGTGTGTTCAGGTGCGACACTACAGCCCCACTCGCTGGGTGTCAACAGATGCCGAGGCCTATTTCATGGGAGTGGGTGCAGCCATGGCTTTCAGGAGACTTTTCCAGTACATCACTGGAGCCAATGAAGGAGGTAAGGAAAAGTACAGGGAGGGAAAATCAGCCTCGGTAGAGTGTGTTTGTTTTGTGTGTGTTATTTTGTATGTGTGTGTGTGTGTGTGTGTTGACAGGCATCCAGATGGAGATGACCGCCCCTGTCCTGGTTAAGATCCCAGAGGAGACAAAGATGTGGGAGCCGGCTATCTACACGTTAAACTTCCCGCTGCCGGCTGCCTACCAGGACAAACCGCCTGCACCCACCAATGACAAGGTGAGCTGAGCCTGGCAGGTGCTGAGGGATTGTGGGAGAAAGAGCCTTTAAGTGTGGAGGGAGGCAGTTTTTTTTTTAGAGCTGGGTAGCCGCCCTTGCTTATTGTGAAGTCAAATGCTTTTATCCTCCCATTATCTGTGTGTAATTCAATCAGTGGTTTTTGCTTTTAGATCAGTAGAGAGCATTGATGGATGAACAGTATTTAGTGGAGTTGGCTGCGGTGCTGCTCTCACTCAGCAGAATAGAACTAGATACTGCTGCATCATGAAGGTGTCAGTGCTGCTGTCCTGTATCTGTTGCATCATTTCATAATCTATAGTCTGTGTAGATGCACATTCTTAATCTGTTTTATTCATCTGAGACGGATCAGAAACATCCTTCTTCTCCAGTCATGCCTGTGGTTGACTAAACTTAACAACAGAGAACCCTAATTAACCTTTTGCCTTGTAGACTGTATGTAACACTTACACTAATACTACATTACATGTTTTACAATATTATTTCAGCTCCATTATTTTAAGTCATAATATACTTTAACAACGTTTAACAACAACATGATTTAATTAGTGCTACAGTAAGTACGGTGTGAGTTTTTAAAACTTCCTGCAATTCACATGATAAAAATCTTCCAGTTTTAATTTTGGCCGACAAACATTTCTTCTAATGGCCACGACATCTTACTGATGTCTAGTATAGACGTCCCAACCTTGCACTTTAGTTGCCGAGACAATATACTTTTCTAATCATTTACATGTCAGTGAAGAAGAATATTTGTGCCTGCAGCATTCACTGTGATGGAGCTTTGTTGTTTGCTGATGTTGCGTCTGTGTCTCTATCACAGCTGTATTTCACTGAGATGCCAGAGATGGACGTGTACGTGAGGAGCTACGGAGGCTGGATGCTGTCAGTGACCTCCAGGCTTCACGCCCACCTGCTGACTAAAGAACTGGAGAGAGTCCGAGCTTCCTACAACCACAGCTACCACTATGGAGTTGGCTATGACAGGTATGACTAACTCATTTTCATGTTCGAGTTCTTCTAGTGTTCTAGTCCGAATTTTGTGCATGTGATATTTGGAAAACTCTGGCCAAAAATTACTTTTTGATTTATACAATTTGTTGCTTTATTTTCCTATAATTGGAAGCAGGATTCTTTTAGGTGTTACCTAATTGACATAAAAAGCCAGAACTCTTAAACACATTGCAGTCGCAACCAAATTTGGGTGACAGGTGCACAAAACAACTCAGAGCGTTCCTGTAAAATGTAACAGCATTTCATTTTTAGGCGGCACAACAGCACCATGGTAAACTTAAATTGCACGGTCATGATTCTGACTCACTTGTAATTTTGCATCCGTGTCATCAGCCAATCAGCATGACCATCACAATCTGCTTTTGGATCCAAATCTGGATCCATATGCCGATTTAAAAAGAAATTACAGTTTTGTGTAATTAAAGAAAAAACACACATCACTGCACACGTCACTCACTTTTAACGGTTGTGTTCATCTTTCTTTCTTTCTTTCTTTCTTTGTGTGTGTGTGTGTGTGTGTGTGCGTGAGCAGTCCCTTGAAGTTGTTGAACAGGCACAATGAGGTGTGGTATGTGGCCGAGGGAGAGCCGGTTTGCACGGATCCACGGGAACCGACCCCGGCACACACACCCAGGCCGACTCTGCCCGCCTCACCAACAGACTCTCCGTCTGACCCTCTCCCGCACACACTGTCTGACTCACTCACTCCCTTCAACTTGTCCTCGAACACAACATCCAACTCCTCCTCTTCCTCCTCACAAATGCCGTCTGACACACCCTCTCTCCCCCCGTCTAACGCTCCTCCCAGCCCTTCGTCCAACGTGCCCTCTGAAGTCGCATTCAGCCACCCTCCTACCTCCGCCCAGATCCTGCTGGACCCCACAACCAACTCATCTGATCCCGTCTCTGTGAGCCCGTCTCTGGAGCCCCAGTCTGAAGTTGTCCCGTGGAACAGCACAGCCCACAGCTCTGTGGATACACAAGCTGACAGTAACCCTGTGGTGGAACCAGATGACGCTCATTAACAGCCTTCACGTTTTCTTTAAGCAGCCATTCCAAGTATATTAACATGGAAACTAAAGAAAAGAAACAGTGGAGGTTTGGCAGAAGGTTGAGTGAATGTGAGTAATAGACGGACATGTTGGTCTCTTCTTCCTTATCTCTCTATTCCTGTGTATTACACCAACTCCTCCTTATGGCACTTAGTATTTGACTATATGTTCTATCACAGCTTTGCGCCTGCAGCTTCCTGTATCAGCGAACACATGCCTGTACACTTTGTTGTTCTGAGGTTATCATACAGCTGCATTTAGAATTAAATAAGATCGATGTATTTGTTAGAAAGTTAGAATTCAAAGTTGCTATGTTTAATCTAAAGGCAGAGGAAGATGCCTTTTGACATCAGTTTAAACCAAAACCTGATTTAGCTACTACTAGGACTTCAGTGGAAACCTGTGTGTAACTGATAAATCAAATGCTGGGACTAACCACGGTAGGCCATTATATCAGACGAAACTTTACTGTGTTCTATCCACTCTCGTAAATGGACTTTGATGATGTTATTAATTATTATTATTAATAAGCTTTTTCTCTGTTTAGCTTGTCGTCAATTACTTTCATGATGTGTGGCAACATATTAGTAAATCATAATAAATTCAGTACGCACATTCATTGGGATCTTTGGTGCAGCCTTAAACCTAAGAAATAAAACTGTATGGCTCTAATTATTTGGGGATCTTATGGAATTACCCAGATTGTAATTATTCTTATTTTTCTTTTTTTTTTTTTTTTTTTACCTTGGATCAAACCTTTGTCTCAGTATTTGTGCTCAAAAACTAAATAAAATAAAAAAAATAAAATTCTTGGCCAAATGTTTTGCAAATTGTATTGATATTTTTAAATCAATTTTTAGGTAATTAAGAAATTTGATCAGATTTTGTGATAGATTCTTCTGGCTCCCAGAATTAAAAAAAAAAAAAAACCTATTACAGTAATATAGCTTTGATTACACAAGGGATATTAATAACATACAGCCAAAATAGCTTGTTTTTCAATTCTCCCTTAATTTACTGTTAAAATTTTAGCTTAAAAAAAAAAGATTTAGAATCAACAGCATGATGGATTTTTCTTCCTGCTAACTTGGATCAACATTCAACCTTCAGACAAGTACAGAACAGGAGGATTCACATACACAAACACAGACGCACCCTCTCAGCTCTGGCCCCTTTTGAGTAGTGATCACTGTCCTCCATGGCGTCAAATCTAACTGTGGTAGGACTGCCCCAAAGATCCCAGAGAATCACGGCTGATCGAACCAATGCAATAAGAGTTATATCAGTTAATAATCTCTAGGCTACATACTGTATGTTCTGAGGAAGGTGCAATAAAAACCCATAACAAACACTTGGGCTCATGGTTTTATTGGTGGCTTTAGACTTGATTAACCAAGAGAATAATTTACTTTTGGAAAGACAACTTTGGTGGAGAACTTTGGTGTTATCTGGCAGTGGTAGTATCAACAACATTGGTAGTAAGCAGCGCACACCTCACGCTCACCTTCACCTTCACACCTGTGCACCAGACTTTCTCGTCTCTCGTGAAATGACCTCGTTGTTAGTGACACTTCTCAGTTTCTCCTATAGTTATTGGTTGGTGGCTCCAGGATCTACACCTGCTCCAGACAGGCACCTTGGGGCAATATGTCAGTGTTTTATTTTGAGCTTGTTGTGCTGCCCCCAAGTGGCCAAAAAAAAAATTGTTAATGCAGATTTAAGAACTGCACATTATCTTGTTTTCTACAATGCAAAGTGACACATAACCTCCAGTATCGGTGCATTAAAATTCTCTGAAGTTAAAATCAACAGTGCGACCTTTCCCAGATTCAGCCCTGATTCTGCTGCAGAAACCGAAGCTGCCGCTGGCTGATCTCTCAGTGGTCCTCGGCAGTGGCTCGTAAATCTGAAAAATCTGAGAACTGGTGTTCACAGGTGAGTCATATATTTTATCAGGAATGTCTGACTGCTGCTGCTCGCCTTAACCTGTGTCACATATTGTGGACTGTTCCCGAGGTTTCATTCATCAGTGTGAGGAGAAACGATAGGCCACAAGGGTGAAGGGAACGATATACCAAGAGAGAGAGACGGGCGGAAAAAAAGGAAGAAACGGAAGAAACAGCTTGATCAGTGGAGTTTAATCCAGTCTGTTATTTCATACATGAATGCTGGTCTGAAAAACACCAATTTTTAATTGTGTGCACTCTACCACGAGTAGGGATCGGGTTCAATAGCATTTTATCGAATCCACATCCTTTACTGAATCTTTTTAGGTAGTTTTGCTTGTTTGGAAATGAAGACATTTGAGTTAAAAAGCACATGTACTGTTTTTATTTCACTAAAACCTAAACCAACCAAATTATAGATTTCTCTACATACAAGAAACACAGAACATTACCACACGGCGGATTTGTTGTTGCTTTGCTCAAGGTCACAGAATACAGTGTAACACCAGCTGTAGGCTGAGGCCGAGCACTTGATCGTCCTTCTGAAGTTATCAGAAATAGCACAAGTTCTTATTTAAGCAGGGACTTGTCATTCTCCCCTTTGTCATAAGTGCTGTTATGCAAATATTGCATTTCATAGCTGTTTCGCTGACTTGGGAACATTTAAATTAAGGCGGTCCACCATGTTCAGTCATGCAGTGTCGTTATCAACTGTGTCGCTGAGTTAGGAATTGTTTGTCACCAATTTTTTTTCTTTGCAAAAGGAGATTATCTAAGAGAGATTGAAGATTTGATAGACGATTCAATTGCTGCAGATTTTAAAGGAGCTGTTTGTGAGTTTTGCTACTGCTACATAGCTAGTGTTAGCATTAACAGCTGTTTACTTACCAGTCTAGAGGAAACGTTGCAAGTACAGCAACAAACTTCGTTCCTTTATTCACCAACAGCTGTCTCAGGATGTAGAAAGCAACATTAATGTTAACTCTTGTCTCTATCACGTCTTTTCCTCTACTGCAGTTAGCATGCTAATCAGCTAGCCCCGGCCCGTCTTGTCACTTTCTGATAGCGCCTCGCTTTAGCTTCCAATCTGGCCTGAAGACGTAGTGCTGCTCAGAAGGTGTATTTTAACCTTTTGTATTATAAAGGCAACGATGCCTGAAGCTCTTGTCAAGCAACAATCACCAAGAAAACCACGTTTGTCTGCAGAGAAAACTTACAAATAGCCCCTTTAACAAATCTGGGCATTTTAACAACTTAGAACCAGATCCAAAATGGACCCGACTATCAGAACCCGTCCCTCACCAAGAGTGCAACAATCCACATAAATGTAAGTTTGGCATGACACGGCATCCTTGTTATACTATTAGTTCAGTGTACAAAATTTGTTTTAATTGGCATCTGCTGCTCATACGGATACCCATTATCAACATAGTTTCATCAAACCACAAGTTCTCACTGCGATATTATTTTGAAATAAGCTTATACCACATACAGTAAATAACCATTCATGCGGTGGTAATCATTGCTGAAAACCACTGACACATTTACAGCTCTTTGACTCCAAAAAACAAAGTTCACCTCTGCTCTCTGCATCATATAGTTATGGCTATCTTAGTTTTGCAAAACAAATGTGCTTTGATCCACCTGCTGATTGTTGAAGGTAGAATTAAACTTGAGGGTCATACAAAATAAAAGTCCTGCGTGTCTCTCTGACATGAGAAGGCATTTTCTCCATTGTTTGGCTTCATGTATAAAAGTGGTATTCTACTTGAGGACTTCAGTCCACAGAACCAGAGAGGGACCGGACAGCAATCTTAAGTCTTATGAAAGTCAGTGTTTTTCCAGTAAACAATAAAGTTTCCTTTTCCTCTGAAAGAAAAAAAAAAGTCATTTTTCGAGTTCGTACTTCAAATAATGAAAGTATAAATAATGAGACTTTTTAAAAGTAAATCTTCCTTGTAACGTTAACCTAATATTTTACAAAACCTTCCTCTGTACACTCTGGATATGAGCGTGTCTCTGTTTTCTGTGTAGTTGTGCTGTTGATGTTTTCATGCACATTAAGGGGAACTAAAAATATTTTTTTTTTATATTTTGTACTTCTACTTAAATCCAAGAGCAAGACAGCTAAGATGTCTGTACGCACACAGTTGCCTAAAGGCTTATCTGTGTGCACATAAATAACTGTTTTCCACTGCTGACTACAGTTTTCACTATAATTACAGTGTGATTATAGTGTTTTCTTTAATCGTGTGTCACTGTAATGTTGTGTTATGTTCCTCACTTGGAAATAACCGCCTTCTTAGTAATGCTTGCTCTCCTGCTTCCTCCTCCTCCTGCGCCTCCTCCTCCGTGCCAAAGATGGCTGGGGATGGTGAAAGCATCCACGCTCATGCCCATGGTTTTAGAGGGGATGGCACTAAACTGCTTCCTATCTGAACTGTATTTGTAGATGGACTCCACCTGGGTGGAGCCAATTGTCCGGGGACCCACGCCAGCCAATCGTATGAGCTCCTGGGAGTCTGGGTTCATGGTGTATACGCCCCTGAACTGGCAGCTGGAATCCCGGAAGAGGATAAGGAAGTGGTTTGCAGGAGACTTCTCCATCTCCTGAGGTTGGTACAAGATGAGAAGTAAAAGAGAGAAATGCAACAAATCATATTGGTGTTCTAGTTTTAATCATCATCATCAAACATGCAAATGACCCAGTTTGGTGCCTAAAAATAGTAACAGAATTCATGTTTTAATAAATAGAGTGCTGCAGGAGTGAGTCCTAAAATTATGGTTCCCAAAATCCATGGATTTTTTGAATGGGTTTTTTGTTAAACTGAAATAAGGTCTGTTAACATAAGCTCAAGACATTTTCACATTTTATTTTACGACATTTAAAATATGTCAGTAAATACCCCAGTCATGATTTCTTTAAGCTTTTGTGTCTCTTTTACATCATCACCGATCTACTCACCAGTCCACTTTTACAGCCTTGTTTTGATATTTGCACTTTTGCAAACAATTGCTGACTTTATTAGAGGAAAGACTTTTGTAGAAGAGGAAAGCGCTAAATAAAGCTACAAGTTGTAGTTCATTTGTAGCCTAACATTAGCTTTGTACTACTGGTGATTGTATTTAGGCTGGTGTTCATTTGTGAACATTATCGTGCTGAACAAAACGTATAAATATCATAAATGTTCCTTTGTCACAGAGTTTATTCTCGGCAGTAATCCAAAAGCCAATGTGAAAGTCCCATTGGCTTTTCTTGAGGGAACCAGGGTGATGCTAACTTAAGAGTTGGCCCACAAAAGTATGTCATGCCTGCAGCCCTCTATTAATGTCATGAATTTCAATAAAAGGGTTGATACAGAATACAAAGATGATGCAGAAAATGAAAATCTACCTCCACTATCTTGTTTTTTTGTGCCTCGTTGACCTTTCCAGCCAGGCAGCAGCGGGAGAGAGCGTTGTGAATGATAAATTTGTTGGACTTGAAGCTTGGTTCTTTGAAGAGCTTTGGACCTGAAAAAATACAAACACAGGCATGCTTGATTATGCAATGTGCACAATTGTAAGCAGTTTGGCAATGCATAGGAGTACTCGGGAACTGAGAGATACTGTAATGCTGCAGAGCTCTACCTGTGTATTCTGGGGCAGGTGAGGTTCCATTGGAGCCACTCTCCCAGTCCTTGTCTCCGTTCAGATTGGCCAGTCTACTTGGTGTCGCACATCCTGACGGTGAATCAGGACGGCTGCTGGAGAGGTCAAACAATGAGCCAACACGCCATAACCTTATATCGGTGCTAAACTTGATAACAGAACGATTCATGCCTAGATCATTAATAAGAAAGTAGTGATTGGTGAGGTTTTGGTTGTAGTGATTTATTTCTACGTGAGAAATGAGTCAAGTAACATTACTTCTACTGGGTGCTAGTCCAGTCCTCTTTCTACACCTTGTTTTGGCACCAAGTATCACCAAGAACTAGCCAGAACTAGCCGTTAGAGCCAATTAGCATCATTAACAAGCATGTTTTCAGCTTCTGGATGTTAGCATACTGAAGTTTAGCCTGTAATCTGCAACTTAGCAAATAATATTGGCATGTTGGCATTTAATTCAGCTGATGTTGGCAAGTTTACATTCAGCATGTAACTTTTTGCATGTTACTGTAACATGATAACTTTAGCACATTAGCATTGATCTCAGATCAATTTGCTCTTTAATCTTAGAGGTCCCCTGTCATGACGTGAAATATTGCACAAGTGGAAATTTCGATCATCACAGTCATCCGGATGCATCCTTGGGAAACCATGAAGAGATATTTCCCTCTGGAGAAAATGATTGGACTAAAAAGACCAACCAAATGACCAATTGACCAGAACTGCCATCTCTTGAGCTATAACAATCGCAACTAAAAACCTTGTCAATGAGAGGTAAGAGATATACAAATGACGTATGCAGCAGTGTACCTGTGAGGTTTCTTTGTGGGGTCACTACCACGGTTTCCTGTCTCATCTGTTGCTGCCAGGTTGAGGGAGGAGTGAGAGTAGACTTTGGTCAACTTAGAGCCTGGACAAACATGAAGACACGAAAACAGTTTAGTCACTTAAATCATCTACAGACAGTTAACTTCATATATGATATATTTTTCACTTTTGACTTCACCAGTTGTTCTCTTGGCTGGACTCAGAGACAGCTGTGTTTCTTCCCTGGTCATACTGCGAGGCCGAGAGCGGGTCTTCTTGGCTGAAGATCGTCCTTGATTGGCGGTTTTCTGGCGGAGCACTTTGTCCAGGTCGTCCATGATCCTGAGCTGTTGCCGCCGCGCATACTCCCCTCGTGTGAAATCTCCCCGACGGGCTGGAGTAGCAGGCGGTGTGGGTGACGGGGAGGTGGTGCCTGCAGGGGGTGTATTGGAGGGAGACGCTGCTCTCCTGTCTGAAGACACAACTCTGAGAACAGGAGAAAAAAGGTTACTTTCATATGGGCGCCGTTAAGCTTTGGAGTCTATAAGATAAGAAATTAAAGCAGTGCAAACTTGGATTCAACATGCTAAGATGTATGTGGGTGTGTTGTACCTGATTTCCCTTTCTTGCTCATGCCACTGTCTCCTCCTCTTCAGCTCCTCTGTTCTCTTTTGCTGCCTCTCCAACAGGAGAGCTCTACGCTGGGCCATCTCCCCCTCACTATGTACCTCCTCCTACGACCACACAACCATATACCCAACTGTCATGACGAGATTCATGTGCATTCAAAACAAACAAACATAGTATTTCTCTTTTTTAAGCACTTACCTTGAAGAAGAATCCTATTCCTCCTTTGGTTTCCAGCTCGCTCTGTTCTCCACTCGGTTCCAAAGTTTCGGTCTGTCCTGTTTGTTCTTTGGGTTCGGTTTGTTGTTCCGGCAAATCCGTGGCTTCCATAGCCAGATTCAGCTGCTCTAAAGGATCGAAGGGTTCTGTGGCGAGTCCTCTTGCCGGTTCCGCAGCAGATTCTGTGTGATCGCTCATTGAGTCAGAGGAAAACTCCTGCCCTTCATCGGTTGGTTCATCGCTGCCTCCTTCTGGCCCTCCAAGAGATGATAGTGACACCTCAATCATGCTGCAGCGTTTCTCTGCATCTCTGCCTCTTCCTCCTTCCCCTACTGCGCTGTACGCAGCGGAAATGGACAAAGTCTCGCTCTCAAATGAGCACTCTGAAGGAGCACCAGAGCTGCTGCCACCAGCAGCCCTGGGACGATCTTGTCTGGGCTGTGACAAGATCGGCAGCCCTCCAACACCCTCTACGTCCTCTTGCTCCAGCTCCAGGCTGAACTGGGTGGGTGTCTCGCTAGAGCCTGTTTCTGAGTTGCTCTCATCAGGCTGTGGCTGCTGAGGCTGAGGAGATTCCTGAGGAGTCCGGGGACCGCCGATACGGAAGGAAGAGGACGTCTGAACCTGACACTTGCTGGGGGACACACGGCGCAAGTGGGGGAGGGTGTCCACAGTCTGGGTTGGTGTCAAGACCCGATTGAGAGGAGGGAACTTGAGTTCGGAAGGCCGTGGATGGGGGCGCTGATTTTGGGGGCGTGGGTGGTGTTTGGGGCTCCGAGGTGAGGAGGAGGAGTGAATCTTAGTGCGAGGAGCAGGGCAGGAGGAGGAGACGACTGTTTTTGGAGAGGTGGACAAGGTCAGAGCGTGAGAACGCCGTGAGGGAGAGGAGGGGAGATTGGGATTGGTAGGGATCACCCAAGCTTTACCGTTGCTCCTTGTAGGAGTCTTTGTCGGGGTTCTCGGAGGTGTCTTTGTTGGTGTGTGGGGAGGGGTTCTGGGTGGTGTTTTGACGTTACTTCTAATCACTGACTTTGGAGCGGGTTTGGGTGTATTTCTGGGTCTTTGGTTGCTCATGAGCTGCTGCTGCTGTTCTGTAAGTTTCTGCATGTCCTTCTGTAATGACTGCAGGGCTTCACTCAGTTTCTGCACGACTTCATTGTATTCCACAAGAACACCGTCACCAGCTTTCTCTTTCTCTTTTTCTGCACCTTGCTTAGTTTCAATAGAGAACGTGACCTGCTTCTCCAGCCGAGGAGGATTGGAAACGGATAGCTTTTCTTTCTCCTTATCTCCGTCTTTTTCTTTTTCCTCCTTTTCTTTCTCTTCCTTCTCCTCCTCCTGTTTCAGTTGCTCCTCCATGTGGGTGAGGCGCTCCTCCAGGGTGAGATTATCCTCCCCCAGTCCCTCCCCTCCTCCCTCTCCTTGCTCTCTTTTCAGTTGAAGGAAAGCAGTTTTGCCAAGCCTCTGTCTGTGTTTGGCAAAGATGGCTTCGATGCGTCTTTTTTGGGCTTCAATGCTTTTGCGTTTTTCCTCCAGACGAGCCCCCAACTCCCAGGCCTCGGAGCCTGGTTCGGGGCCTCTGGGACCTGGGCTGTCCTGTCGGCCAGGTGCCCCCGCTGGGGTTGAGGGTGTATGTGGAGTTCCTGGGGTTGTTGGCGTCGCAGCAGAGGCTGAGTCCTCTCCGGGAGCAGCCGAATGTCTTCTCCTGCTGTCTCGTCGCTCAGCAAAGCTTGTCATTCGTGGGCTATTGCTGGTGCTGTGGTTTCCCTGGCGACCGTTACTGGGTCGAATATTACCAGGGGCATTTCTTGGGGTATCATCTGATAGTTCAGAGGAGTCGACGCTGCCATCTCGTAGAACGGAGTCATCGTCACGTGACATATCGGAGCTCCGTCCTGATCTCTCCCTCCTCTCTCCCCTTCCCTGCCTTTCCGTATCACCCCCTTCTCCTCCAACAGGCCGGCAGAGGACTCCAGAGCGACAGGGAGCAGAGCTACTGAGCTGGGGATTATCCTCCTCGGGGGAGTGCAGGAAGAAACCGGCAGGGGCTCCCTCGGGACGTAACCTGGGCTCGGGCCGTCCTCCCAACACTCCTCTTCCACCTTTCTCTGGCGTCCTTCCCTTCTTCCGATCTTTGCTGTTGGGAGTATGAACCACCTGTAGCGCCTCCTCGATTGTTGGCAGCTCTCCTAGCGGTGCCGTGTGTGCGTAAGGGCCCCAGGAAGACCGCTGCGATGGGGCTGAAGCGCTGACCAGGTGGCTGAGGTCCTCTGGAGGGCTGTACGGGACACGAGTCATCCCTGCTGAAGTCACCGGTGAGGTCATTACAGGGATGCCGGTGGTCAGGCTGTCAGTGCTGACAGAGCGAAAGACAGAATCTATTGGGTTTCCCATGACAATGTCAACATCACTGTCCAGCCCAAATGGGATGCTGAAAGTCACTGCTGACAGAGGACGACTGCAGAGAGGTGGGTGACGATGGAAACATGGACCAATGGATGGGTTGTGCCACACAGTATGGAAAAGCAGAGACCACAGAAGCCAAAGAAAGAAAGAAGATTAAAAAATTAAGATAAAATATGAATGCAACACAACATTTACTATAGAAATCACACAAAGCTTTTAAGCTACCTACCCGATTTGTTTCTTCGTCCAACTTTTGTTTTCTGAAAAAGACAGATAAAACTAAATAAATAAATGAGTCTATAAAAGTTTATTCATTTCAAAGAAACACATTCCTGTGCTCTGTATTTCCTACCTGGTGACACTGGAGAGGAGATGGGCACAAAGGGTTGTTTGAAGATAAAGGAAGGAGAACCACTGAAACAGGACAAAACAGTGAAATGCTGCACATTCACACATTTTTTCTAAAAGAAACCCAAAACAAACTAAAACTGTGTGTTACAGCTTTGATTCTCAGTTCAAAACATAAGGTGTCTACATCAGATTTCTCTTTTTTTTCTTCTTGCTTTCTAATACCTGTTGCTGTTCCCAGTGACAGGACTTGTGCAGTCCAGTAGCCCCGAGACATCTGAAAGACACAGAGGCCCTGCAGTGTCAGAGGCTGGTGTTTATTTATCAAACACTCTAACAGCCAGTGCATCAATATGTCAGGAATGTATTAGAAACAAACTGTATGTTACAGACCTGTGAGGTCAATGGGTTGTGTGGGCTGGACAAAATCAGGCTTCTTCACCTCAAACCACTCCAGCAGTTCTGCTATGAAGCTCATGATGTTCAGCTGAGAGAGGGGGGGGGTAAATAGATATTGAACAGATATTAGATCGTCAACACAGTCAGCAGTTTGTGTGCATGTCTGTAACTCCCTGTTCACACTTTCAAAGATTGTCATATTCACGATCCTACATTTAAAGCACTAAAGACATAATTTCCTTAATCAGCTGTTTATCTTAAATAGTAGTGTCTTACATGAACACACTGTCTGCCTCAGGTAACATTAGAGATTACTGTATTTGACTTTGTTGGAAAAGGGTGAAATCAAATATTTTCACAAAACAGTCTAAAAATATAGGAACCAGAATCTGACGGTCTGTTGTTGTCTGGCAGTTGTTGGGTTGTAGGGAGACACAGCTCCCAGTCAAATCTGATCAAACCACAGTGTTGATGGAGCACAGCTGACTGTTGAACTCTAACTCAGTTACAAATGTTTAATTTTAAGGAGAAATACTCAAATTTTCGAAACCAACATTTCAGGTGCTTCAACTACAGTGAAAACGCAGGAGGTCATAAATGCTCACATGGAGAACGGGTGGAGCGTAGAGCAGGTCCTCCACAGCGAGGGGGCAGCAGCTCTGTAAACTGTTCTCGCAAAACTCTTTGACCAGCTGCAGGTTGTAGAGACTGTCGGCCAATGACATGGTGTCCTTCAGACACACATCTGGAGGGGAAGAGACAGGAATACATAGACATTAATGTGTGTGTGTATGATTGTTAAATATATTTGCTTCAACTCGAACACTATCATAACAGGTGCTTTTTAAACATGTTTTTGTGAATTCCAATATATAAAGGAAATTTCCAACAAATGCTTTCTCAGTAAATTTAACATACATTCAAGATCCCACACTTATTGGCATTTTTTTTTAATATGATGGGCTCATTATTTAAGCTGCTATCAGCATACATCAGCCAAATATTAATATTTCAACATCTAACGTGAATTTGTATGCACGTGTGTTAGCGCCTGAGTTTATGTGCGTACCCTCTAGAGGCAGCAAGCTGGGGCAGTAGTAGTGCAACACAGCAGCTATGGCACAGCCATTAGACAGATCTTTGACCGCAGACACCAGAGGGAAAGTAGGAGTCAGCTTAGATTGCACTTTGTCCTTCCTATAGCGGATCTGGAGAGGAAAGAGAGGGGAGGGGAGGAGGAGAAAGAGAAGAGGGTAAAAAGAGGAAGAGTTGTGCAAAGACAGGTAGGAAACAGTAAATGGACAAGTGAGGGGAAAGAGGAGAGACCATAAGGCAGAAAAAAATTACAGATATGAAAATACAGGTTCAAGTTAGAGTTAGAAAAGTGACCAAAGAAATGTAAAACCAGCCGGGAGTGTCCGTCTTTCAGACAATAAATAAAATCATCGACTCAAACTGTGCAGCCAGCCAAACTCCAGGAAAATTGCAAAGAGAAGAAAACCCACAGAAACAAAGCGCAAGACCAGTGATGCTTCATTTGAGAAACATTTGCACACATAGACACACACACACACACCAACCAGGAGGTGCAGTGCAAAGGACTAAAAAAAAAAAAAAAAAAAAAGAAAAAAAAAAAAAAAAAAAAAAAAAAAAAAGGCAATACAAAAAACTGAAAGAAAATTATGTCAGTGATTATAAGTGAAAATGAGGACGTTTCTCCTCCGGTGTCCATGCAGCAGAAACAGGCACTGACGACACTCTGATCAGGTAAAAACCACATAATCAGATTTTTCTTTTTTAAGTGAATTTTACAGCTCAGATGCTGGATTGCTTTTTTAAATGTGCACATGAGATAAAATAAACCCAAAAACAAAAAAGAAAGGGTTCATGTCTTAAGTGCATCAGCTGTAACTTGCTGCTAAATGATTTTGCGCAGCCTTGTTGTAGGAGTACAGAGACGAAAAGGTCAACACCCAGTCTGATCATGCCTCCTACAACGCGGCTTTGTAACACACACTTTAAAGAAAAGAAGTGAAACGTAAATAAATATGAATAAATAGTGTTAAAAGCTAATGAGTTTTAATTGATCCATCCAACCTCGGGGTTGGAGTGGTGATTAGTTTGCAGTCAGTCAGTCGGTCATTGGTCGACAGCGTGGGAGAGGTGTGGCGATTGGTCAGGTCTGTCTGTCAGTCAGTTGTAGTGCGTTGCTACGGGAGACGTGGAGGATGAGGGTGAGATAAGAGCGAGATGTTATACGTTACCACTGGCGGCTTATTCCCCGACTCCTTCAAACAAAAAGCGATAGCATGCTGGATGGGGGATGGCAGAGAGAGGGAAACAAGCATAAATGACAAGGGGGCCGGTCATCATGGGAACTGCCACACCACTAAGTCACATGGCGCTGCTCAGGGAGAGAGGAGCGGCAGGGGAGGAGGAGGAGGCGAAGAAGGGGGCAAAGAAAGGGGCAAACAAAGGGGGCGCAGAGGTAGTTTAATAATCAGCGAGGAAGTAATTTCACCTCCCTCCCTCCTCTCCAACATCTCCTCCTCCCCCCTCCGCTCTGATAATCTGGGCAGTTTGAGATGAAACCGATGACTGAATGTAACAAAGTCAGAAACACCCTCAAGGTCCAAAACATCATCAGTTGATAACAATAGTAATAATAATAATAATCACAGGACATTTCAGTGGCATCTGATTAATCAGCTGAAAAGGTCACAGACAAAGGCACTTTTCATAACGAGACAGATAAGAGAGTATGAGAGGCATTTCCAGCAGGCACAGTTAATGTCAGCCATAGCAGATGGACAGACTCAGAGAGAGAGAGAGAGACAGGAGAAGGGTACACTTACTGGGACTAGTTTCCAGTACCAACGGGTGGATTGACACTGCCAGAGAGCAAGGCACGACAGAGATAAACCAGAGGGAGAAAACAGAGAAGCAGAGCAAGGTCGATGTTAGAAAGCAACACAGCAACGAGAGACAGTCGTTTAATGACGAGTCACCAAGCAATGTTCTGCTTGTTTTATCAAAGACTTCAGTGAATCATTTTTAATGAAGGGACAGAGCTCTGCTAACGTCAGCGGCTCCGTTTCAAGGATGTGTAGTGCGAGTGATATTTTCTTTCGCCGAGTAGAGGAAGTCACCGTTGTAAATCGGCACAAGATGACAAACTCCAGAACTTCAGACACAGTGATACGACAGTATAACGTACAACAGTTTGGCATCAATGATAAGGAAGTCACCCAGACAGTTGGTGGTGTGAGCAGGATCATACAAGTCGATGCACAAAAGTGAAACCTCAGTTCATTCCCAGGACTGAGCTCGGTTTTGTTGCTACATCACGTTGAACTTAGAAGATTGTGTTTTAATTGAGTGTGTGTGTTTGTGTGTGTGTGTGTTTGTGTGTGTGTGTGTGTGTGTGTGTCAGGTATTTTTACCGAGTCCTGAACAGCCTGCAGGTCTGTACACGTCTGCGACTTGACGGGTTCCTCTTCTTCTGTGCTTTCTCTCAATTTCTGGTTCAGCTGTAGACACAAGACAACTACTGTTAAAGGACAAGTTCACTGTTTTTCCCCTATTGTCCCTATTGTTCTATTTAATTAAAATACAAAAAAAAATTTAAAGTAAATTTTATTTACAAATTAAATTTAAATTAAATTAATTTTTTTAAAAACTTTAAAAAGACCAATGGCTGTGGACTACAAAGACCATCATCTTTGAGGTCAAATAATTGTACACAGGAAAATGATTCCTATTAACAGTAAAACCTGAGAATTTGTACAATATTCAGCTTCAGCAAGGCTTCACTTAATGAATGAAAACAGGATCAAAGATAACAGGGACAAGAACAAACAGTTTATACAGTTTATATGAGTATAAATTAAAATGATAAGAATTACAGCAAGCCAAGACTTTGCAATAAAATAAGTTTGAAATACTAAAATTAAATATGTAAATAAAATATTAACAAATAATAGCTTTTCATTACAGCCACACCCAAATACTGCTCTTGTTTTCACTGATGAAAATATTGTGTCTGTGTCTTCTAGTGATGATAAAGACGTCACACTATCAGCTTGTATTGCTCGTAAACACAATCGTAAACGGAAAACTGTGCAAAAAGTCAATGACACCCGACAGAGAGCAAGTTTAATGTAATCTGTCCTTTAAGCTAACAACTTGAGTAAGGAGGGAAACAACATGGTCTCACCCTGTTGACCCAGAAGAGCAGAGCGTTCTCCCATGGAGAACTGACGCCCATCTGCTCCGCCTCCGTCGCCATCTTCACCCGGCCCACTGTCTCTTTAGCAGCCAGTGACATCAGAGCGTCCATCAGGGCAAGGTGGGACTTCTGCACCAATCAGGGACAAGTGCTTTTTACTACCTTACACTTATTTGGCAGCTGGAAAGTTGTAGGTCCTACTTTACTTACACTTTTATACTCAAGACTTTTACTTTGGAAATTTGGGTAGATTTTATTTTTCCTGTTTGCAGATCAAACTGAAATCTAAATAAAAACTACACACAGCCACACACACACATACTGTCTTGATGGGGACGTTGCTGAGATCCTCCTCGGTGACATCTACATCCTGGACCTTTGGGGTGAAACCTTTCTTAATGAGGAACTGCAGCAGCGCGGAGTTGTCGGCCGGGGACCCCTGCGATGCCGGCAAAGAGACCCCGTGTGCCTGGGCCAGCAGGGCCTGAGCTCGGCAGTAGATCTCCGGGGAGAGAAGCAGCTTGGAGACGGACGGCTTGAGGTGCTCTTGTTCATACTGGTCCTTGTAAAGCGGCTCCCGCAACTCCACAGGGACATTTTCTGAAGCGAGAGAGAGAGAGAGAGAGAGAGAGAGAGAGAAAGAGAGAGAGAGAGAGAGAGAGAGAGAGAGAGAGAGAGAGGACGACTCTGTAAGGCTTTTTTCACAAAATGTTTTTACAGACATTCATGGTTCCTAGAGGATGGATCCTAAAGACTTTGCAGACTGATTTTTCCTCTACTGACACCATGAGGTTGAAATTTCTGGACTGAAGTGAAATGTCTTGACAGCTTTTGCAGGGACTGCCATGAAACTTGTTTTGCATATTCATGGTTTCCAGAGGATGAATCCTACTACCTTCTGTGATCCTTTGGCTTTTTCTTTACCTTCATCTGCAGGTCAAAGTTTTCACTTATTTTGTGAATAACTCAACTCAACTAGCTCTAACGTAAGATGCTGAACTAAGATGGTGATCAAGTTAAACATTACACCTGCTTAACATCTGCATGTTAGCATTAGCAGTGTGAGCATTTTAGCATCATAGATGCACTTAGTATGCTACTGTTGAAGAAACAACCATGTTTGCAAACTCAGAAGAGCTCTGAATGAATATTTCAGTAGATGGATGGTGCAAGTTGAAAGAGTCCACTCATCATTTTCTATAAGCAGAAATCTGAGTGAGGGCATTCATTCATCTATTAGAGGAGGTTCTCTGAGCTGCATGTGAGGAGAAACAGAACAATGAAGCAGTTTATGGTGCAGATATAAGATATTTCTTGCCTTGCTGCAGTTATACTGTAAGAAATGGGAAAAATGAGTCATCCTCTCTGCACTGGAAAGACAGTGGCGCTTACTTCTACTGCAATGCATAGAACTGCTTCATCAAGTCATTGTCCCATGTGGAAAAGGTTACAGAGGTCACCAAGGCTGCTGCAGAGAGACTGCAGATCCGCTGTATTTCTGTTCTAGCAGAGAAAAGTGAATAACCACTGGATAAAAGTGAAGAAGTTCCCCCACAGTGGAAATTAGGCGACAGTCAGTAATGGGGGGGGGGGGGGGGGGGGGGCTGCAGGAGAGGATAATGTCATCATCTGCATGAACAGCTCAGCTCAGCGAGGTTACCCAGACAAGAGTGTGGGAGTGAACATCAAGTAATCTATGATGTGCAAGAAGATCTGACCATGATGAGTGGGTCATTTCATACACACACACACACACACACACACACACACACACACACACACACACACACACACACACACACACAGGACACGGAAACACGCACTTTCCTGACTGACCCATATTCCAGCTCTGTAGCTTCTGTACGGCTGCACGAAGAGTCAGGATAATCCTGAAGATTGAAGTGGACTTCTTAAAGGGAATATCAGAGTCTACATCTCTTCCATTTACTCTTTCAGTCAATCTTCTTTTCCTTTAAGCCTTTACCAATTCACTCCTTCATCTGTCCATACACATCTGACTACGACTCATAATGAGGGCTACAACTCCTCTTTTTTTTCTTTCTCTCTGTAACCTAATGTTGTAAGGCTCTTATATGAAACTATAACTCCTCTCCTCATCCTCTCCTCCCTTTCTCTCTATTGCAGAAGAAGAGAAGAGAAGAGAAGAGAAGAGAAGAGAAGAGAAGAGAAGAGAAGAGAAGAGAAATTATCTATCTGTGTCATTACATAAACAACAGTTTGAACACACACTCCACTGCAGTGTGACACACACACTCTTTGGGGTTAAAACCATTGCCTTTCACACACTGCAGCACTGGGACGAAGTAGGGACTGCTGTCGCTATGGGAACGGTGGAAATGGAAAGCGGCAATTCTGTCCCGATCACAGCAGAGGCAATGAGACTGGACTGCTGAGTAGGTCCCAGCTAACCCATTTAACATAATACTAATTTCATCTGGAAGAAACAGGAACAGAGCTGCGGAGCTGACACGGCACAACACTGTTACTTTGTATAGATTTTTAGGAGCATGGTGCTAGAAATCACCTAAAATATACAAGTTACTGACAAGATAATATAATGACTCATTCATTCACTCACTCCCTGCCACAATGTCCCAACACGTACAAACATGTGCTCAAGGCTGCAATAATGTTTTTTTTTCTATTTTTCTATTTTTTTCTCTCTGTTTATAAGTGACTTGGTAAAATCTAGCATGTTTCCAAAAGACAACAAGAACCCAGGAAGAAATAAGTTATCTTTTGTAGGGGACATCCTTTGGCCATGTCAGATACAATAAATCTCAATGGCACCAGGAGTGTGTGCGGTGAATGAATCTCATGTGTGACTTTATTAGTGCTATTTTCTTTCGGGCTTCCATTAAAATTCTATGAGGCACCCACTGGGCATTTTCAACAGCTGACAGCCTCCCTGCTGAGAGGTTTCCAGCTCATCTCTCCTCCTGTCCCACTGACTCCAAGACTGGACGCAAATATAACGTGAAATTCTGTCTGAAGCTATTACTACAGCACACAAAAACACGGATTATTACATAACGGACAACTGTGTAAGTCTGCTATTGTAGATTTAGTCAACAGTGTGATGTCACTGTGTTAGTCAGCAGAGCCTGAACATACACACAGACCTGGTGTTTGACTGGAGCATGCCATCTGTACCCAGAAATAGAAACAGCACTGAATCAGTTGAGCAACAAAAAAACTGTCAAACACAATTTTTTATGACAATTATTTTAAAAAATCGAAATATACTCTGATCCTATACAGAAATGTAGTATATGACATATATAGTACATGTCCCTGTATCAAGGGTGATGTCACCATATATGTCATCTATGAGGGGAAATATTATTTAACATATTTACATCCTCTGGATATAAAAAGATAGTTTATAACATATACAAAATACACATAGTAAAATTTGTATGTTGTAATATATATAAATATATATAAAATTGTTTTCATGATGAATTCTTATATGGTATAACATGTTGCAATACATATGTTTCATCTTCATATATGCAAGTTTATTAAACAACATACGTATAAAAATGCTCTATACTGATACATATATATATAAGTAGAGAGCATTTCTTTTTAGTTTCTCATTCATTTTAAACATATCTATCTTCCCGTTCTGGGAGAGTGGTCTCAGACTTTTGGACCCTACTGTTTATAATATCAACATATACTCTATTAACAGGCTTTGGGATGGATAGTGTACATACATAAACATACATATCTGCAAAGGCTAGACATACAGTATCTGTCAATTGTTCTAATTTCTAAGGTTTTATATATCATTTTTACATATATGTTTTTATTTTATATGTACATACTGTATATTTCATATGTGGAAACTCAATATACGTACATATATTACATTTATGTAAGGGATCCCAGCATCTCAAACAGGATTAGCTGATTTTCTCTGTTTTATCATTATCTGATCTGTTTTACCATTTTAAATAAAATTGTTTTTCAAACTGTCAGTTGGACAACGTGAGCAATGTGATGACTTCACCTTGAGCTCTTGCAACTTATAATATTACTGTCACTACTTTCTTTCTTTCTTTCTTTCTTTCTTTCATGATAGATACAGTAGATTGATCAATAATGAAAATATTCATTGATTGCAGCCCCAGCTAGAAGCACCTTTGCAGTATGATGTCATCCAGTAGCCTACAACATGACCACAAACTGTAGAAAGACCACAAAGATGAGTCTGTATGTCTGGCGCCATGTCAACAAAAGCACTACATTATACAAGCTTCATCCGCCTGTTAATTTATCTCAGTCGGATTAAATTGAATCACATTGAAGTGTGCAGGTGTTGCTGTTTCTGACTCCATCCAGTCTATCACTACATCCAGTTTGAGCACAGCAAAAAAATAAATAAATTAAGTGTAAAAGAAAACATGCCTCTGCACCTCTGTCCTGCCATATGATGATAAACAATCTCTAAAATATTCTTAAGTGGTTCATGAATTTAATGCATTTGCAGCAGTTAGAACCAAAAACACTCCATTGTCTTACTAGACACTATGTCACCTTCACTAAAATGCCACGCGCTATAGCTCAACGTGCGTGCGTAACACTGACACAAATATTATGCGGTCTTGACCCATTTACAGCCGGCCCACACATAAATAGCCCACATCTTTATCGCCGTGGTTTTTAAATGAAAAGGTAATGAACCCAGGTTACATCTAGGTTATATTTTGCCTGGTGAACCCCTCCACGGGCCTAATGTAGCGGCTCTGACAAAAGGCTTTGTTGCACTGCAGCGATGACAGCCTCCGGTTCCTTCATGCATCACGCACCACGGAGGAGATTCCGTCTGACAAGCCACATATTCATGTCAATAATTGGCTGAAAATCATCCTCAGTCAATATGGTAGCTACATGCTCTGGCAAAAGCTGCACAGCCTGGGAGGAAACGAGCATCATCAGGCAGCGGCTTGATAAGGATGGATGCTGAGCGGTTGGATGCTGGAGGTTTCCCCTAGATGCCAAATAAAACGAGGAGCGTCTAACTCCAAGCTCCATATATAGCTGGATAAATTATTAAGCGCCCCACCCAAAGCTGCGCGCCTCAGTGATGTGAACAGAGACCGGAGTGTACCTGCAGAGCCGTACGACTTCGACAGCAGCCACCGGACGCTGGCGCGGATCTTGGCCCGGCTGAAGTCGTACTGGTCCAGCGGTTTGATCTCCGGCACTGAAAAGGTCTTCTTCATCGCGCTGGGAGAGTCCACCATGGCCGCGCTGTGCCGCACGGACGACACGGAGGCAGCAGCAGCAGCAACAGCAACAGCAGCAGCACCGGAAAAATGTGAGGAGGAGGGATGGAGGAGGAGGAGGAGGGGGAGGACAGATGGAGGAGGACACTGTGGTGCAGGCGCAGATTGGAACAAATGAATGACGACAAAATCACAAAAAGTTAAATAGAAAGAATGACTTTACAAAAAACAAATCTATTATTATCCTAGCATATAAATCAAAAATCTGTTTTATGGAGAATAAAATACCTCACTTATGCCTTCAACCGGCTCCACGCCCCCATGAACGTCACATGTCGGCCAATGGGGATGTCACACAAAATATGATTTTCAAATCCTTCATATTTTGGATTCAAAGCAGCAAAAAAAAAACAGGTCAAATGAGAATGTGTCACCTTCTTTGATTAAATGTTAATTTTGAGGAATAACAGACTGTCAGGTTTTGACTGACTGAGAAATAGATCAGTAAGTCAGTGTCCGCCTTCCTCCACGTGGAGGTGCCCTTGAGCAAGGCACTGACTTCACCCCATCAGCTGACTCGGTGAACTGGTCAGCGGAAGTAAGAGAAGTTGGTTGTAGTGCAAAAAATTTTAAAATTCGTCATGAACGAACACACAGCAGGTTAAATGTTCTGGTGTTTGGTGATTCAGAGATCACATAGCCTATCCTAGATTCTGGTCAAATTCAGCAGATTAGATTCAGTCCACTTCAAAGTCTTCCCCACAGCTGGATTAATCAAATCCCAAATTATTACAATAAGCAGTTTTAAAGTAGGTTTCTCTTTCAATTTGATTTCTGTCAAAAAATCCCATGAAAATGGTGCAATGAATACTATAGCTTTTTATGCCTCACTATACTATGATGTTGTTATGCTTTACTAGACAATAATTTAGTTATGGGTGGCACATGGATATACAGTAACTATATCGCCTCTTGGAGAGAAAGTTCCGTATTCAAACCCAGGGCCTGGTGCCATTCTGTGTGGAATGAATATGTTCTACCTTTGCCTCCATGAGTTCGCTCCAAATATTCCGGTTTCCACCTGCAGTCCAAAGACATGCACAACAAGTTTATTGGCGACTGTAATGCCTAACTATACTATGACCTTTTATGCCTTACTATACTACAATGTTTTTTGAAATTTTTATGCCTCACTATACAATGGTATTCTTTGACAATTTATGCCTTACCATACTATGACAATTTTTGCCGTTTTTATGCTGTAGTTTTTTGTGACATTTCATGCCTTACTATACTATGAAATCTTCTTTACACTTTTATGCCATACCATACTATGACGTTTTTATGCCAAACCATACTATGATGTTTTTAAACATTTTTATGCCTTACTATATGATGAAGTTTTTTTATGTTTTTATGCCATAATATACTGTGACAATTAAGGCCTTACTATACCATTATGTTTTTGACATTTTAATGTTATAATATACTGTGGCTTTTTATGATACACTATAGTATGACGTTTTTTGAAATTTTCATGTCTATACTATGATATTATTTGAAATTTTTATGCCATACTATATGACAATTTATGTCTTACTATGCTATGACATTTTTTTTTACATTTTTATGCCATAACATGCTATGACATTTATGTCATACCATACTATGACATTTTTTGATGTTATTATACCTTATTATACTATGACATTTTTATACCAAACCATACTGTGACGTTTCTTGACATCTTTATGATGTACTTTACTATGACAATTTATGCTTTACTTTACTGTGACTTTTTTGACGTTTTTATGCCATACTATACTATGACCTTTTATGCCTTACTATAATATGTCTTTTTTGATGTTTTTATGAAATAATAGAGTAGGACATTTTATGAAATACTATAATATGACAATTTATGCCTTACTATACTATGACGTTTTTTTGACATTTTTATACCATACTATACTATGACTTTTTATGGCATACTATACTATGACAAATTATGCCTTACTATACTATCACATTTTTTGACGATTTTATGATATACTATAGTATGACCTTTTATGAAAATACTATACAATTACTTTTTTTGACGTTTTTATGACATACTATACTATGACAAATTATGCCTTACTATAATATGACTTTTTATGCCTTACTATACTATGACTTCTTATGCCTTACTTTACTATGACGTTTTTATGACTTTTCATGCCTTACTATACTATGACTATTTATGCCTTACTATACTGTTGTTTTTATGACATCTTTTTGCCTTACTATACTATGACGTTTTTATGCCTTACTATGCTATGATGTTTATATGCCTTACTATACTACAAAGTTATTTGAATTTTTTTTTCCATACTATACTGTGACTTTTTTTGACTTTTTTGTGACTTACTATATTATGATGTTTTTTTGAAATTTTATGCCTTAATATACTATGACGTTTTTTGACCTTTCCTGCCTTACTATACTATGACTTTTTTTTTAGTTTTTGCAATACTAGACTATGACGTTTATATGCCTTACTATACTATGACGTTTTTTTTTTTACATTTTTTTAGCCACTATATGACATTTTTTGCCTTTTTTTGCCTTACTATACGATGACGTTTTATGACATCTTTCTGCCTTTCTATACTATGACTTTTATACACGTCACTATATTATGATATTTTTTGACATTTTTAGCCTTACTATACTATGATGTTTTTTGCCATTTTTTTTTACCATACTATACTATGACGTTTTTTGACATTTTTTTGCCTACTATACTATGACGTTTTTTGACATTTTTTGTAATACTATACTATAACGATTATATGCCTTACTATACTATGATGTTTTTTGACATTTTTTTTGCCTTACTATAATATGACGTTTTTTGACATTTCCTGCCTTACTATAGTACGACATCTTTGTGTTTCACTATAGTCTGACGTTTCTAAAGATTACTTTAATATGGCTTACTCCTACTCTGCTTACTTACTCTAAGGTTGAGGGTAGTACAGTGGTTAGAAGTGTTGCCTTTCATTCCAAGGGTCAATGGTTCAAATTCTGGTTAGGAATATCTTGTGTTTATGACCTTTTTATGCCTTGCTAAAATATTACGTGTTTTGCCATTTTTTTGCCTTATTATACTATGACGTTTTATGACATCTTTCTGCCTTACTATACTATGAGGTTTTTTGACATTTTTTTTGCCATACTATACTATGATGTTTGTATTCCTTACTATACAGTGACGTTTTTTTTTTTAATTTTATGCCTTACTATACTATGATGTTTTTTGACATTTTTTTGTCTTACTATACTATAACGTCTATGTGTTTCACTATATGACGTTTGTAAAGTTTACTTTAATATGGCTTACTGCTATGGTTGAGGGTAGTACAGTGGTTAGAAGAGTTGCCTTTCATTCCAAGGGTGGATCGTTCAAGTCCTGGTATCTTGTGTGTATGACATTTATACGCCTTACTATACTATGATGTTTTTTGAAATTTTTCTTGCCTTACTATACTATGACGTTTATACGCCTTACTATACTAATATGTTTTTTGACATTTTTTAACATTACTATACTATGATGTTTTTTGCCATACTATACTATGATGTTTTTTGACATTTTTTAGCCTTACTATACTATGACGTTTTTTGACAATTTTTTGCCTTACTATACTATTACATTTATACGCCTTACTATATGATGATGTTTTTTGACATTTTTTAGACTTACTATACTATGATGTTTTTTGACATTTTTTTGCGACTTACTATACTGACGTCTATGTGTTTCACTATACTCTGACGTTTGTAAAATTTACTTTAAACTAGCTCACTGCTACAGTTGAGGGTGATACAGTGGTTAGAAGTGTTGCCTTTCATTCCAAGGGTCAATGGTTCAAGTCCTGATTGGGACATCTTGTGTGTATGACCTTTTTATGCCTTGCTAAAATATTATGTTTTTTTACATTTTTTAGCCTTACTGTACTATGATGTTTTTGGACATTTTTTTGCCTTACTATATTATGACGTTTATACACCTTACTATACTATGATGTTTTTTGATATTTTTTTTCCTTATTATAATATGACGTTTTTTGACATTTCCTGCCTTGCTATGCTATGACGTCTATGTTTTTCACTATACTCTGACGTTTGTAAAGTTTACTTTGATATGGCTTACTGCTATGATTGAGGGTAGTAGAGTGGTTAGAATTGATGCCTTTCATTCAAAGGGTTGATGATTCAAGTCCTGGTTAGGAATATCTTGTGTATGACCTTTTTATGCCTTGCTAAAATATTACGTTTTTTGAAATTTTTTTGCCATACTATACGATGACGTTTTTTGACAATGTTTTGCTTTACTATACTATTACGTTTATACGCCATACTATACTATGATGTTCTTTGACATTTTTATGCCTTACTATACTATGACGTTTTTTGACATTTTTATGCCATACTATACTAGGACGTTTTTTGTCATTTTTATGCCTTGCAATACAATTTCATTTGATGCTTTACCATATTATAACATTTTTATGACCTTTTATGCCTTAATATACTATGATGTTTTTTTGACATTTTATGCCATACTATACGACGACGTTTTTTGACATTTTTATGCCTTACTGTACTATGACGTTTCTTGTCATTTTTATGCCTTGCAATACAATTTCATTTGATGCTTTACCATATTATGACATTTTTATGACCTTTTATGCCTTAATATACTATGACGTTTTTTGACATTTTTATGCCATACTATACTATGACGTTTTTTGTCATTTTTATGCCATACTATACTATGATGTTTTTTGTCATTTTTATGCCTTGCGATACAATTTCGTTTGATGCTTTACCATATTATGACGTTTTTATGACCTTTAATGTCATAATATAATATGATGTTTTTTTGACATATTATGCCATACTATACTATGACGTTTTTTGTCATTTTTATGCCTTACAATACAATTTCATTTGATGCCTTACCATACTATGACGTTTTAATGACC